ATGGTTCCTAACATTCTGTTAGTTCTTTTGACAGCTGCTGCCCACTGAGTGCATGTTTTCAGAGAACTATCTATGATAAGACCAAGATCTCTTTCTTGAGTTTTAACAGCTAGTGTAGACACCATCATTTGATATGTGCAGCTGGGATTGTTTTCCAATGTGCATTCCTTTGTACTTACCAGCACTGAATTTCATCTGCCATTTTCTTGCTCAGTCACACTGAATGGGATAGGTGATAGAACAGAACCCTATAAAGCCTTGCATGAGAAGACCCTGAAGGCAAATGAACAATCACCTGGCACTACCCTCTGAGGTCCCTCAGAAGAAAAGAAGGGGGTGACTCTAGATCAAGCCTCTATATGCTGTTAGAATCCAGTGTGGATCAACAGTACCTCATGGTCAATGATATCAAGGACAGTTTTACATACTTGTGGCCTGATTATCCTTGTACTTACCCTACCATAAATCAGGACTATTTCCTTTGTAATCAGTGGATTACTTTGGTGGAGATCAGTGGCATGACATTGGTTGCATCTCGAGCACAGGAGACTGCATTTGTTCTCCCAGATATGGTCCTGCTACCAAGGAAGCAGACATCTCTGTCCATATTTCAATTCTACCCCCTTTCATGGCTTCTTGGCATTCCAGATCTCCTATGCAGCCAAAATGCATTCATTCAGCTGCACATTGAGCTTGTACATCCACAGCATGTCTGAGTAGCATTTTCTCCCTAATATAGCAGGGACAAAATAAGATGTTTAAATGAAAAGGGAAGGGGCAGGCAGAAATATGTCCATTTACTAGGGTGGATAAAAACTGATCATTTAAAAAAATGGATTTTTTAACTTAAATCATTGTTTTAATTTAAATTAAATACAAGTTTATTAAAAAATAAACCTATTTGAAGTTACGTTTGAAATAATGACAACCTATGTTAAGGCTCAAACCTCTTATAACCTATTAAAATCATTTAAATTAAATTCAAGAAATAATATTAAGTAGTACTTGTTTGCAGCCAAGTTTTAAAGAAAGTCAAACCACTGAACTGGTGAAAGTCCCTGGCTAGCCATGTGGAACTAAAGATTGTTGAAGTAAACCAGCTTTTGACAGCCACAGCCTCTTCAGCAGGTGCAGAGAGAATATTTTCTTCATTCTAGTTTATTCAACTGGTGCAGTTTAATGACCAGTTCCTTCAAAGTTAAGAAACCAATAGGGAGTTGAAAAAGCAGGAAAACTCATTTTCCTCTTCCAATCTATGAATAAAAACTAGGTGTGAGAGGATGAAATCTAGTAGTTCTGAAATCTTGAAGGACATGATGACCAGAAACATGTATTTCAATTCACTAACTACAGATAATACTTCCTTTTTTAAATAAATCCGTTAGTTTTAAATGCAATATATATTTTAATGAACTTTGTGATAAACTTTTTTTCTTATGTATCCAGCATATTTAAGGTAGTTTTATTTAATAAATAAAAAAAATCTGTTTTGGTTCATTTATAATTGAATTTGAATCTCCATCCAACTAGAGCTAGACAGAAATGACAAGTAAAAAAATTAATCTGGTAAATAAGGAATGCATCCTTATTTAAATCAAGTTTCCTGATTGCTGATTTCAATTGATTACTTTCAGTGATTTAAGTTGTTTTGATTTAAATCAATCCACCCTTCCAAAAACACCACACCCCTCCAAAATGACACACTGATTTTTAAAACACATACACGTTCTATGTAATTTCTGGTATTGTCAACAGGAAATGAGCATCAGAATTCTTTTCACTGTCTTTTAAATACAGCCACATGGGAGAATCAGCCAGCAGAAAGAGACAACACATTGAGTCATAGAAACATGTAATAATACATCAGAAACAACACAGAATATCTAAAGTGATCTCTTTTTGTTCTTTTTTTTTTTAATAGCAAGGTGAAGTTGACTGTTGGCCTTTGCCTTGTCCAGAGGTGGAATGTGAATTCAGTGTACTCCCCAAGAGTGAGTGTTGTCCACGCTGCGTCACTGACCCCTGCCAGGCAGACACCATTCGTAATGACATCACTAAGACGTGTCTGGATGAAATTAATGTAATTCGCTTCACTGGATCTTCATGGATTAAACACGGCACAGAGTGCACCCTCTGCCAATGCAAGGTAAAGAGCATAAAAATCAAGCCAAGAGGCCTTCTTACCAGGTGGTTCTGTAACTTATAAATATTAATACATTTAGTCTGGTCAGTGGGAAGTCAGTTTCTACATTTACTGTTCAAAGTTCGCAGTGTGAAATGTTCAGCTTTAGTTGCAGCCTCTCCTGTCAGTGGTGCAGAGCTTTCAAGAACCAGATGATGTTTTAAATGTGCCAGCAGGACAGAAATCTCACAGCATCATAGCCCATGTTGTATCTCACCTTGAGCAAGTGAACAAATGTATCCTTTCCACAGAAACATCTTGCTTTGACTTTGATGGCAGATCTTACTCCTGCCAGCCCATTGCTACTTTGCAGATACTTATAGTGTCAAATAATTTCCAAAGGTCTGTAAGATCTGACCTCAGACAGGAAATATATTTTGTAGAGTGAGCATCAAATTACCAGAAATGCTATTTTCTCCTTTAGGATTGTGATGACCAAATATTTTAAGTTTTGTAATGGCAAAAATGGAAATTCTGCTCTTCCATGGTTTAAAAATGACAGCAGAATCCACATTATTTGGGCCTTTTATATTCCTCAGGGGTAAGGCACACATTATCTCAAGAAGAAAGGTTAATGGTGAAAAGCTTCTGTGAATTCTGCTGCCTCTTCTAAAAGAAGTAAAAAAAGGGACGCTAAAATAAAGTGTTTCCATTTTATACATACACACACACACACACACACACACACACACGTGAGGGAAACTGTTTTTTCTATTGTGTATAACTGAAGAATGACCAGTAGCAGTTCCACAACAGAGGTGACCAGCCAGGAGGAGGCGAGAGAGAGAGAGCAGGATCCATTGGGATGGAGATCTGTAACCCTCCCAAATAATTTCAGATATCATCCCATGTCCACAGGAGCGCCTCCAGTTTTTCTGCCACCCTAGGCGGCAGAAGGTCCCGCCCTGAAATGCCGCCCCCCACAGAGGCGGCAGAAGGTCCCGCCGCCGAAATACTGCCGCGGTCGCCACCCCCAAATTATAGCACCCTAGGCGACCACGTAGGTCGCCTAATGGATTGTGCCAGCCCTGCATGTCCATCCCATAGGACTAGAGTACCACCTAAAGCTCCACTTGGAAGAAGAAACAGGACCAGAATCCCATACTGTTGAGATGCCTGGGCATGTAGAAGGAGCTTATTTGTATAAATTCCACTGGTTGTCAGTTATGGAACATGTCCCATCTATTCTACCCTCTTGTGGTCCAAGATAGGTCTCTCTATTTTACAACCAGTTTATACAGAGCTATGGGCTACTGGTACCAATTGTTGCCTTGTAAACTCGGATCATGATTTGATCCTATATGAGTAATATAGATACTATGCCAAGCTCCATGGACTCACGATGCCTCATGTCAGAATCCATTCTAAGATCTACAGAGGAAACCAATTAAGATAGTATACTCCACATTATTCCAACTACCGGTTGGACATTGGTGTAATCCTTTCCTTTTAGGATAGTCAGAAACAGAAATGCCAAATAGTCATTGTGCCTGTTTAAACTAGATTCACCATTTATCCTTAGGTTTTCCATGACAGAACAAGGAGCAATGGTCTCAAATTGCAGTGGGGGAGGTCTAGGTTGGATATTAGGAAAAACTATTTCACTAGGAGGGTGGTGAAGCACTGGAATGGGTTACCTAGGGAGGTGGTGGTATCTCTATCCTTAGAGGTTTTTAAGGCCCGGCTTGACAAAGCCCTGGATGGGATGATTTAGTTGGTGTTGGTCCTGCTTTGAGCTAGATGACCTCCTGAAATCTCTTCCAACCCTAATATTCTATGATTCTATAATTCTATGTTAGGAATTTTCAAATATCACAAGGCATAACAGTATAATGAGAGCCACAGACTCTTAATAATTAACATGTTCTATTTGTTCCTCAAAGAACAAAACCTATTTTGTTTCTTTCCAACACTATGTTCTTTTTTGACAGTACTGTAAGTATTTTAGCTTTGTTTTCCATCCAAGCAGTCTAATCCAAGCAAACAAGGCGAGTACCATAGCACAGCTTGTATAGTTTTGAGTCTGTAGCACAAAATATAAATACCATACTACTGTGTGTCTCATTTGTACTGCTTCGTTTCACTGTTTTCTAGCAGTACATCACATGGCAGGTCAAAGCTTTAGGATAAGCTTCTCTAACCAAGCTACTGCAAAATAGGTTTACACAAAATCCTTTAAGAATTCAGAAAGCCAGGCATCAGCTAAAGCTGACTTAGCCACAAAACCATTTCAAATCACAAGTAAAGACGGTGAACTCTAGGATTTCTGCCATGGTTGTCTAGTCTCCTGCCACATACAGTCAAGAAAATGAATGAATGATTCTTACATCCCTGATCTTTAATCAGCCCTACTCTTCAATGGACTAAATATATTTACAGTAATTTAAAAATTATATGCACTATCTGCATAAGAGTCCTACTGAGGAGAAGAGGTGGAAATGCAACATATATCTTTTCTTCAATACTTTAATCACTTTTCTAGGCAACCTGTTCCATTAATTGCTAATGTTCATAGAAATATGTCTATACTAAGATCTGGAGGGGAAACTTCAAAGATTAACCTTTGACAGTGTTACAGCCTGAAAGTATTAACTTGAGATATTCAATGCTAAATAAAACTCATGGTCCCCTGTGTCAAATCTAAATAAAACTTCTAATGCCTTGTCCTCTTTGCCATCTTTATTGAGCAAACTAGGCCAAATCCTGATCCATGTGAAATAAATAGCATATTGCGAAATGACTTCAATTCTATGTCTTAGTTTTATGATATGGATTACACACTGATTAGTGAGTGAAATCATTAGATTCCTTTTACATAGAGTATGGGACTGAAGTGAAGATAGAAAGAGCTAAAAAAATAAACAGTTTACACATTTATTTAGAAATGTTCTTCTACTGGGCAGGTATTTGCAAATGGTCATTCTGATTGTTAATTTGACTTTACAAAATACTAACCATTTAAATCTCTCTTCTTTCCCCCTTCCTCCCCCTCTCACAGAATGGTCATGTTTGTTGCTCAGTGGATCCACAGTGCCTTCAGGAACTGTGAAGCTAACAACCGTGTCTCACAAGCAGTTTCTGGTTACAGAATTTTCCTTCACAAAAAGACCTTTAGACCAAAAATTGTATAAAGCTAAAACTGAAATCACATCAGTTTTGTCCATCTAAAGTGCAGAAATGTTCTGAATTGAGTGAGCTTTCAATTACCTGAGTCAGAATGAAATCTATGGAACTGGAGAAAAGCTCAGATGTGTAAACCTTTCTTTGAGGTCAGGCTCAACTTCTGGCTATTTATGTGTCTGGCATCATTATGCAGAATATTAGGTTAGTGGTAAAGTGACACATTGTAACATTGTACCTAACGATGTCAAGATCGAGAGACAAATAGAAGTGATCATTGAGCCTACTGAAGCTTTGAAAGTCCAACACTTCAATAGGCACAGAGATTTTTACCTAATAATATTTGAATCTGCACAAATTTTGTTTGATTGCTCACTGCAGACTCTAGCAGAAATTTGAATAAAGGGAGGATGTCTTCAGGAACAAAGAATATAGCAGCTAAGATGTGTTATGTACAGTACATGCTCTGAAAAAAAGATATAAGTTATTGTAAAAAAAGTGATGCACCGGCATGGCTACTTAACGTTTTCTGATGGGGAAAGTCATCTATATTTCCTTGTTTTACTGCACTTACTATTTCTTGATTGAATTTGTTCAGTATAAGCTCGTTCTTGTGCAAAATTAAAATAAATATTTCTCTTACCTTATAATATTTCTGGCTTTGAGTCTCCTTCACTGTTACAGGTGATATTTTTATATATTATAGATGACTGTTTCTCCTTTGTGAGCAGGGTTGTATATAGATGTTTCTACCTGGCACAAAGTTGTGACATTATTTCATATTTGTGCTAGTCTTTAAGGGATCGATCTTGCAAATGCTTATGCATGTGCGTAAGTTTACTCCTGTCAGTAGTCCCATTGAGTTTGATAGGACTATTCATGTGCATAAAGGTTTGAAGGATCAAATTCTAAATGTTGATAGGATACTTCCAAGCAGGTTAGAGGCAACATTTGACCTTCCTTAAAGCTGTTCTAACTTGTGGGAAATTCTCTTCAGATTCAAAGCCCTATTTTTGTTGCTGTTAAACACCACAACTTTGCTGATTTCATAGGTGCTGGAACTAGAAGTGCTGGCGGTGCTGCCACACCCCTGGTTTGAAGAGGTTTCCATCAGGGTTTACAGTTTGGTTCAATGGCTCTCAGCACCCCCACTGTACAAATTGTTCCAGCACCCTTGGGTGATTTCGATATTTTTGTAATAAAAAATAATGTGTGATGATTCTCCCAATAAATTTATTTTTGTTGATGCAAGGGCAGTCATCCAGCCATCAGAGGAAACTTAATTTAATAAACCCTATTTTCACTACTGATGTGACAATAAACAAAAGAGGCAACATGACCAAAGCTGTGTTGTGCTACATAAGAGGGGGAAAAAAGAATACAAATAAAATAAAGATCTAAAAAATATTCAGGAAAAAAAGGACCAGTCCAACATTCTACAGTGGACCATTAAAGCTATGAAGGTTTTCAAATTGAATAAATCTTTCTCCTCTTCAAGACCTTGTCCATAAATAATAGCTAGTCAAGGGATTTTCTGTTTTATCCACAGTTTCTGACAAGCTACAATCAATGTTCTTGAAGAAGCATGTTAGCGCCTTAAAAAGAGGCTGTTTTATGCACTGTTTTCCTGTCTAATAATTGTCAAGGGGTCATGTTTTGCCCTCAGATACACAGGAACATCTCCTGTTGATTTCAATGGCAGTTGTGTGCCTGTATCCGAGGGCAGATTTGACAGGCAGTGTTACTGTTTGGGGATTATGCTGTGATTTCATTATAAAATGTGTTAGAAATACACAGAGCTCAGACCATTTGTTTTTTGTTGTGCAGGGTAAAAGAATGAGTTAACATATTGCTTGAGGGCAAAATCCTCTAGCTCAAGAAAAGGCTACAAAAAGCCCTGAATGAACACTGTGAAACTAGCGCACAGAAGGGGCAGGAGATGCATAGCCCAGCTTCAAGCACACTTTATGTTGGACTCAGAGATAGGGGATTTAAGAGTCATGCAGGGGAAGTGAGTGGGGTGGGGGAGTCTGTCCAGTTGGTCCACAACTACATGAATCCATTAGCTTAACACCCTTTGTGAGGCTTAAGTATCAGGCTTGGGGCATTACTCCATCCCTGGAGCTGTAATACCAGCCACAAAGAGGCTAGAAGGGTTTTCTATGCCCTCTCCGTGAGCTGGGATTCTGTTCCCCCTAACCTCCAATGTACTTTCTCTGCATGTAATCTGGCTTGGGTTATGCACAGAGATCAGATTTGGCCCTAAGACAAAGGTAAGATCGTAAGGAAAAATTCTCTTCACTTTTTTTTTTCACTTCTTCGAGGCACAGTAACATTTACACTTCATCCCAACTTGTACTTCAGAACTAAGAATGTGAATGATGGAAAACAAATCTCTCCATTCATTGCAAACCCACCCCTGTAATGGTGTGTCTTATGTTTTGTTTTGGGTTGTTGTTGGGTTTTTTTTACCATCTCAATGAACAACCTGCACTTCGCCAACAACTAGGTCAAATATAGCCAAGACATACCATAATAGTTTTTTGTCAAAATGAATCATGTTATCAAATCCTTAGACAGCCAGTCAATACTATATGTATTTGAAGAGTAGAAGTTATTCAGTCGAACAAAACTGAATGAATAAAAAATGAGAATGGGTTGAGCGAGCATTTTATAATCTATCAATGTTCCAGTTTGCTAATTAGTTGGGAGTTCTTGTAAAAGTCAATAAATTCCACAAAGACATCTCAATAATCCCCCCAGATAAATTGACCCACCAATTAGTAGTTCATGTTTCTAATTTTCCCCCAAACAGAAAATTTAAATACTACTGAAAATTTTCTTCAAGAATTCCAGACCTAAAGAATGTCAGGCAATATCAAACATTTATTTTCCTTAACAAATAATTCATTTGAAGTACTTCTTAGCCATCTCACAGGAACAGTCAGAGTGAAGCTGATCTGTTGTGTTCTTCTACTGACCTTTCATTATTGGTGCACTGTTTTCAGCATTAGAATTCAATAACTCCCATAGAAGAATTGTCACCTGTTTGCAGAGTAATTGCCCAAAGTTAATAGACCTGCAGATACAAAGGCAGAAATGTCTTCAGTTACACTGGATTCAATTCTATGGTGAAACAAATTGGCAACGAATAGCTGCAGTGTAAACTGTTGAAAACTAAACTCTTTAACTGGAAATTTCTGGTATCTATAAATTCACCCTGGGCAATAGCAGGGAGAAAGCAAGATTTCTCTTCACTCAGTGCTGGTGTTAAACACTTCTATGTGAGACAAATTGAGCCTCAAAGTGAAATGTTTATCTTCATTCCAGAGGTTAGATTCATAGAAGTTGAACTGTCCATCCCAAATATTCATCATTCTGTGCAATAAACTTACATTAATATATGTATAGTACCAAAGCTCTAAAGCAACATGGTATCTATGCATATAGCTTTGTCTGGGTGTGTGTGTGTGTGAGGTAATATCTTTTATTGGACCAACTTCTGTTGGTGAGAGAGAAAAGTTTTCATACTCAGTTCACAAATTTCAACTTAGTGGAAAGAGTTGAAACTGCCTAGACAATAGAACGAGGTTCTTTGTGTTATTAGGAAAAGTAGCCTAGTGTAACACAGGACAGAGAATAGTGCATATTTTATGGTGCAGTAAATGTTCCTGTTTTCTCCAAAATCTCCATCTCATAGACTCATAGACTTTAAGTCTTGCCTCAAAAGTAGAGCCTTTGAATTAGGGTTGAACTCAATATTTACTGGAAGAAACTGTGACAGTAATAGGGATAAATATTAGTTTATAATAGAAATGTGTCATAGAATTGCTTGTGTCGCAAGTCTGGGGGGTCAGCTTCCCATTGCTCCTAATCACTCTTATGTGGGGGTGCACAATGGGTTTACGACCAGAGGTGCTGCACGATGCCCATTGAAGCCAGTGGGAGTCTTTCCACTAATGTCAATGGGCTTTGCATCAGACTTGTAGTGGGTTAGATTCTGATCTCAGTTAACCAGTGTAAATCTAGAATAACCACTCTAAAAATCTAAATATATGATTGGAATATGATCCATTCAATGCAGAGTAACCTGAAAAAAAAGTTGCCCAGAAAATTGTACTTTATAGATTGGGATTTTTTTACACAGCCCAAGGAAATTAGATGCACAATTTCCATTGCATCCGTGGAATTTGGGCACCTAACTCACTTAGGTGCTTTTGAAAATCCCAGATATAGATACTCCTTCATTTCTTAAAATATAAATGCCAACATACTAAAACTCTACAGATCAGTGTTGATTAGTATTTTCTTATTCCCAGAGTTTACACCTTCTGTAAAATGCTAAGAAAAAATTGTCTAATATAAATAAAAAATGTGCACCCTATGTCCTACCAACTTTAGTGAATCATTTAAATAACATAACATTAATTACTGCAAACCATAATAGTTTACTGATCACATTATATTCCATCCATAAAACAGCCAAATATAATTACTATGCTTTTCTTAAAAGTCTTTTTTCTCAGTAATATCATTTTACCATTTAAATTGTGCTTTATATATAATTCCCAGGATGCATCAGAGGTATTGCTTGGAATCAGTAATATAAACCTTTCAATAGGTCCTATTTAAACTGCAAGGACTGAGTCATATTCGAACTGCAAGCCAAAGCCAAAACAAACTGATCTGCATCATTGCTTCTAGAATATTATCACAAATAAAGAAGCAGATCACTCATAGAAGTTCTGCATCAAGTGAAATTTATAAAATGAAAACAACTAAACCATCCCCTTGCTAACTGTTCAGGCATACGTTCCCCTTTTAATTATGACAGATTTAAGATGGAAAAAAAGGAAATTAGTGTGCAGTGGATTTTTCTATTACTTTTTGCATGTGCCACTTTAACAAATTTCTTACAGGTGCCACAGCCAATGGCATATTTATGGAATGTTGCTCTTCACCGTTTCTTCCGACTTTGTTGGCTATGACCATTTGCTATTTCTTTTCCTAGTCTGTTTTTATGGTAATATGTCAGAATAGTTTAGGATCATAATATCACAAAGGTGAGGGACAATCTGTTAGAAGCCAGAAATTTCAGTCGCAGCAAGCACAGATGCATCAGTGGGGCATGGGGCAGAGGAGCTCTGCTGGGGTAATCCCCTGTCCCCCAGCCAGGATCCAGGCACCTGCATGGTAGGTGCAGAACCTTGCCCAAGGAACAAGTTCCTCTCCTGCTGCTTTATAGCTGAACTAGAACCTGAGATTTTGCAGTTTTTTTCTGTGATAACCTCCTCATGAGGAGAGGGATTGGACAAGAGAAGGCTCAAGTGGATCCCCTTGGCACCACATGAATCAGGAATGCCTCTCCTTGCACCTCGTGAGGGTGAACTCTGCCTGAGAGACATTGCCAGCTGTCTTTTCACTGTAGAGGCATGCAGAGGATAGGAATGGTGACAGCCTCTGCCCCATTGGGAGCCTGGGACATGAGAGCAATGGAAGAGGGGGAAGGAAGGGAAAGGAACTTGTGCTGAGGGAGGAGATTGATAGTCAAAGCAGCATGAGGAGGGTTCATAGGATGAGTTGCATGTAGTTGCCAAGTGAAGAGAGGCCAAAGGTTGGCAGGATGGGGGTGGGAAGGAAGGTTGGACAA